TATTCAATGCCTTTTAAAAGATACTTGGATACCATATTTCTGGGTGGGAAAGCTGTTCTAGGAAGCAAAAAATCCATAATCAAACTTTAAAATAGAAAATGGAAAGTGACTAGAATTCATTTAAATGCATATTTGCTTGTTAAGTTCTCACACTCTGGAAAGTTCCCGTTACTGTGAGTTGCAGGGTGGAGATATTGTAAGTAAAACTTTACTTGATTTTGGCTAAAGATTGTAAGAGCAAAGCACACTAAAAATCAGTAAACTTATAAAACCTTTAGCTTAATGCTATTTATGTGGAAAGGCTAGGTCACTGATCCCGTTCTCTTCCCAACCTATTTTGTCCATGCAAGCTTTCCAGGTACTCATATAGCTCACTGACATTAGTAAGAACAGAATTCACATATGTCCTTTCTCATATCCAGCTGTACTCCTGAGCTCATAAGGCATTCAAATACTATTATAATGGTATTGGCTAAGACTGTATCATTTTTCGTAACATATGCTTTCTCTGTGAAAGAAGGCTTGGATATTGTAGCTTATATAATTTATCAAATAGGTGACATTTTTCCTGAGTCATTTCTGCCACACACCGTACATGCACATATTCGCAGTAATAAAGCACCTGCTGTTATGGAAGAGAAATATCTAAGAGACCAATAAATATGTTCTCTACTAGTCAGAATTAAAGATACAGTGTCTTTCCTAAGTAAAGATTATCAAATAACGGGTTTTGTTACTGAGAAACAACTATATATTTTTAAATATTCCTTGTAATTTCACAAGATTTCACAAATCATTTACCCAGTCAAGATATTAGTATTGATAGAACTTGCAGTGAAAAAATTATGTTCAATCATTTTATTAAGTTGTTCTTTGAACCTCAAAAAAGTAGGAGCATACTAAGCTATAAATGTCTCTCACAGAGATGGATACTAATTCTCCGCAGGGCCTTGCACACAGTCCTCCTGGATATATTTTATATTAGTTTAAGTATTTTGATAAATAATGCTTTGATTCCATTTGATTAACTATGAAAGTGGGAATAAAATCTGGGTGACGTAGAAGGGTTTTATCATTTCTAATTTCTATGAAAATTTTTTTTGAAACGTAAATAAAATTATATATTTAATGGAAAGAAAACCAGATATGGACAATACAGTCTTTGGGTCTTGTTGCTTATTTTTTATCATTTGAATTTTAGCATAATTGATGTTTACTCTGAGACAATTAACTAAATTAAAAGGAAACAATCAGGTTTTTACATCTTGACTGAAAAGGAGAAGGCAAAAAAGGTAGAGGGAGAATTGGGAGCGCGTTAACCTGGCAACAGGCTCAAGTTTGTATGTGTATCAGTGCAAATTCAGGTTTAGGGCTTAAGATTTGATGAAGAGTAAGTGTTACTAAAAGGTAACTTTATCTTTTAAAATGTAACAATTTCTATGGGCATATGCCTAGGGCATAAATGTGCTGGGCTAAGTGTGTCTGATATTGGATATGTAGAGTATGTGGTTGCACCATATAATACATGAATGAGAGGACGCTTGGAAAATTTTTCAGTAAGCAGAAATCAGTTAAAACCACAAATGACCCAGGGTTCTAGGCTTAAACGCTTGGACGTAGAAAAAAAAGTCTTCTATGGTCCATGGACTTTAGTCTCCATTACCACTGCTGAGGACTTGCCTTATGAGAAAATCATTTTCCAGAGACTAGAAAGAAACTGAAAGTTCTATAGGTGGAAAATAATTGATTTTTTTTTTTTTTACTCTGTGAATGGTAAGTTTTTAAAATTTCAAGTTATCAGTCATATACATGTGTGTTTATTAATATATGTGGATTACTAGGTTGGATAGCTTTAGTGAAAAAAATATGTATCCAAAATGTCTATTTTTTAATTGAAAGTTAGTATGTACATTCAAAATATGAGTGTGCATATGAGAAATTGTTAGAGCCTGACATGGCTCACCATTTACTCATATATATACCTGTAGGGTGAACATAGAGCATATCTCAAAGTGTGTCAGTTGCTGCAAAACTCTTTAATTTCTGTATTTGAATGTTTGCCTATAAACACATGTTGTTGGCATGCGTATAGCAGTAAAGACTGGATCAGTTATTGGTGACTGGGTATATGCACACAAGCAGTGTGAATGTGTATATGATGAGTACATCTCAGTCACGTCGAATTTTCAGTAACTTATTTTCCTATTTTAGCAAGTTATTTCCTATTTCTTACATAGATCTTACAAGTGAAAGTTGAGTTTAATAGGAATCCTTACTGTTGACAAGTTCATGCAAAATTGTACAGTTTATATCAGAAAATGTACCAATAGAAGAGCTGGCAAAGCCATGTAAACTGATATGAATAATGTGAACATGAATATTCAATGTGCAGAAGAGTTTTATAAATTGTGGGTGAAGATGTTCATTATAGAACAGCAAGGGCATAATAGGTATACCCCTGAATTCCTTTCTGGTGGTTCCTTTTGGATTATAAATTATAGTAAAGATTGCTGAGATTTTTAAAACCATAGAACTTGGCTAGTAATTTCCAGTGGTAGATTATAATGCCTAATGATAGATACTTACATTGAAGTTTAATTATTGACAAAAGTATATGTTCCTCAGAAATAGTGAGGAACTGGAATCAGTAAGAATGATCAATTTAAACTATTCTGCTTATAAAGCCCATTTGATTTCAGTGCTCTACTTGTACATTTAGATGCCAAATTGTAGGGAACCGGACTACCACTCTGTAGTGAGACTTTGGGTTTTGGGTACAGCCATCATATTGATGACGCAGAAGATAAATGCTGGGAAAAACAGTACTCGTGTGGCTTAACTTCATGCGCCATAGAGTCGAAACAATGTCATTAATGTATGAGGTGAATTTTCCTCACTATTCAGATTATTTTTTAAATATACTTTTAAATAAGGATTTTAGAAATGGGCAATGTTATGTAAACTGGAACTTTTGCTATCTTTGATATCTCTAAATGTGTATAAGTACAGTAAAGACTGTATTTTATGAGCTCACTGATGCTTCAACTCAGTTTTCCTGAAACCAATTCTTTGGAGACAGAGGTAAGGCAGCATTGAAAACTCAGTACTAGAGGTATCTTTTGAGAAATATTATCAGCTCTCAGAACAATATTTCTTTTCCCTTTACAGGATATTCACAGTTTTATTCAAAATGTAGTCAAAATGTTAACTCTCATGAGAAGGTGGGTTTGGTGAGAATTTCCCAGTTTAAAATGTGTCTTCCAATGAATCAAGAAACACACTTACTACATTTAAAGCAGACCCATTTACTACTTAGAAAATGCGAATGAATTAGAGCTTCAGAATAATTTAATGAGGTTCTATTTCTATGAAATCAAAGGATATTGACTATACTACTGTATTTCTGCAGAGCACAGAGGTTTAAGTTCAAACTCAAAATAACTGTTTAAAAAGAAATGCTGTATATTCAGTAGATTTCCTTCTTTAAAATGGAGATGAGAAAGGATTTTGCTTGCATATTACATATGCAAGTATGTGAACTAGGAGAAAACAAATGAACAAGGACTATATTACTTACTGTACATAGTATCCCTCTGAGGAGATTATATTTTATTTTCCAAAACATGTATTAGCTTTCTGTACCTTAGTGTTATGGGGTGGTATCTGCGCATCCTCTATATAAGGTTTTATAAATAATTGCTTAGACTGTGGTTAGATGTATTAACTATATTTTGTAAACTCACTGTTGTAGTTTCAAGGGAAGAAGTTGAGCGATGTCAGAGCAGGATCTGCAGTAATGGAAACAGAAACGTGCCCTTTGTGGTCTGTACTAAGAAGAGCAGAACTAGATTGGAACTTTTTGTCCTGCACACAATAATGCCAAAATACTATGTAACCTGTAGTAACAGTATTGTAAACAAAAAGGGAAATGTAATACTGCCAAAATGTCTAGGCATAATTTACAGTTTAGAATACCCAGATCAATGAGATCATTTAGATAAAACCCACAAATCATTCTCCAGTTCTGTGGACAGCAGTATTATTAATTTAGACCTTTTGTTCAAAACCATGGATGCCTTTCTTCCTATCTATTGCCTGCCACAAACAACGTCAAAAATAACAGTCTCAAAACACTTTTATTCTCCATTATGAGACACCTATACTAACTAGATTTCTGCCTGATATTTAAACAGTAGCTGATTCTCTGGGAATTTCAAGCCAAGTTAATATGCTTTTTACTCTAAAAATATTCTTATTTTTTTTCTTAACAATCTGTCATATTTTAAAAGATCATTTAAACTTCTTCAGAATAGCTGCAGTACAGCTCGGTATAGCATTCCATTGTTTAAGTATTTTGGTGATTAGAAAAAAACATTCGTTTGTGTTGGAAAAGCAAAGAAAGCCATTCGTTAAGACAAAACTGTTTCTTTAGGTTATGATTGAAACCCATTCTACATTCAGATGCTTTCCTTTCAGAAAACTCTGTTATGGACACAGTACAATTTGTTTACTTTGATTTAATTTAATGTAAGTAATTTTATAGAAGCAGTTATTTCTGAATCACTGATGCTTTACACTGTGTATAGTTATATGCACACGTAAACACACACACCTGCTTCCTCACTGTATTTCATATTCCATGTATTCTGTTGATTTTGGAGTCTAAATTTTTGTGGGAAACACTTTGCAAGTCCTGCTGCCAAAGGTTGTGGATCAGTCAGGATTATCAGAAGTCTTTACAATGTGACTGTATCTTTGTCTGTCCTTTCTTTCACCTTTCCTTTACTGCACTATCTTGTCTGTCTGATTCTCACAGGAGACATGGATTACAACTGGTTGGACCATACGTCTTGGCATAGCAGTGAGGCATCCCCAATGTCTTTGGTGAGACATGTGGAGCCTTACCATGTAGTTTCCTTTATCATTTCACATTTCCTTTGTTTTATTTACACCTTTGCATGTTTTCTTTTTTGTATCCTTTTTTTATCCCACACCTATAGGGGACAGTCAAAGGGGAAAAAGAAAAACTAGTGAGCAGGCAGTTTTGTCGGATTCTAACACCTTATCTGAGAGACAAAAGAAAATGGTATGCTTTGGTGGCCACTCTTTGGAAGAGGACTTGGAATGGTCTGAGCCTCAGATTAAAGACTCTGGGGTAGATACGTGTAGTAGCACAACTCTAAACGAGGAGCATAGCCATAGCGAAAAGGTACTGAGATTATGGAGCTTGCATTTTAACCTGCTCATTTGGTCTTTGTTTGCTCTCTGTCACTCATTGAAGTAGTGCATAAAATAAGACAGGGTGTTTCTAGAGACAACGTAGCATTTCTTAAGGTGCAGAAAAGAAAAACAAATGAAAAGTCCCTGCATGCTTGCAGCTTGCACTGTTTGGCAGCCTAAGAAAAAAAATTATTGAGGCACAAAGGAATGTTATTACGGTTACGTAATGGTATATCATGGTATTACCTTCAAGTATAAAGTAATTAACAATAAGGATTCTGCTGATTGGCTTACTTGATTTACTGCATTCAAACTCCTGGGGCTGAAATTAAATTAATAGTTTAAATCCCAGGTGAAAAAGGGAGAAAATTGGGTCTCTCTCTGCACGGAAAAGTTGTTTTTCTTTTTTCCCTTTCACTGTCATGGTAGTTCTTTTGTTTTGTTGCCATGCCATTTTTGTGTAGTATTGTGCAGAACTAAAGTCTTTGCCATCTGCTTTGGTGTTTGTTATTTTGATTTTGGTTTGGTGGGAATTATGAGAAATCTTTTTGGAGTTATTAGTTGTAATGAGAAGGAATTGTCTGTGCCTGCTAGTTTTGCATGAACTAGAGCATGAAAGTGGTGCTTATCTGTGGAAAAAGTGCTATGATTACACAAAATAAAAATATTATTTAAAAATTTTTAAATTATATTTTACATAAATATATTTCAACATTTATTTTTGTGAGTGCTCTGGTGAGATTTTCATTGTATATGCATAACTATGCATAGTTTTCTATGTCTATTTAGCTATCAAGATGCTGTGGTGGTATAGATATTTGCAAATTCGATATAGTAAAGTTGATAATATTTTTATATCTTAGAAATACTTTGTGATGGACTGTATGTCCAAATGAATCTTTTTCAGGACTTGTTTTCTGTCATTCTATCAGATTAGATTAAGCACTAATGTAATCATAGTACTTCCATTGCATTTTAAAAATATATCAGATAATGAAAAGTGTTACTGAAATATTATTCTTTAAAATTCTATTCACTTTATTTTTCATTGACACCATATGCTAGCATCCAGTAACCTGGCAGCCATCCAAAGATGGAGACCGTCTCATTGGTCGGATTTTGTTAAATAAACGACTAAAAGATGGAAGTGTGCCTAGAGACTCGGGAGCAATGCTTGGATTGAAGGTTAGTAACGTATAATTTTGAAACTACTTGTAACTTTCTCTCAGCTAAAGAAGCTGTGTTTATAACACAACTGTTCTCATAAAATATACTGTATCTACAGCTATTTCTATAATATCTTATTATTCTCAAAAGTAAGGTATAAAGACATTTTATATTCACTTACCAAAAGTAATTTTATGGGGTCCCAGAAAGACTCTCTAAATTACATGTTGCTACAGGACTAGACATGTTTTCGCCAAGTTTTCAGAGAACGTCTGCTCTGCAGAGTACTAAATTGTGTGCTTGCTGGGTAAGCCAAGCCCTGTCCACTTTCTTCGGGACTGGGTATTGTACTGCAGTATAACTTCCTTTCCCAAAAGAGAGGAGAAATGTGAAAAACAAATAACCTTTTGTGAAGATATAGGAGCCATCTGGAGCTTAATGACACCTGGATCTAGAGCAGAGTTTGCCATTGGAAAAGCCTTGTTTCTTGAGTTTTTTTCCCTCTGATTGATTGACTTATTATGTTTTCAAATTTATGATTTATTATGTTTTAAATATACAAGATTGACTATTACTTAGCATTTATTTATTGTAAATTAAGTATTTTTTTATTATATATTATTGCAAAGTAATGAGTTTGCATCTTTTTCATGTTGCAATACTCTTCCAAAACAAAGTGAAGAAATGTCTAGCTCACATTATAATCTCATTTTTATGTGATACCATTATTTGAATCAATACTAGTATGAGAATGAGAATGAATTATACATGATAAAAAAACAAGCATGTATTTATTTTGGATAAACTTCCTTATTGTGGCAAATAATAAGGAAATTTGATTAATTCAGTATCCTCTATTTAGCATGACGGTGGCTTCATTTCAGGTAAACAGATCAGGCTGTAGTCATGTACTATAAACAGGGATTATATCAATGCAATTAATTACAAACTATACTGATCTGCTTTGGAAATTTTTTTCAATTTTAATTTAATTGATGAATGATTGTATTTTGAGGTTAGTGGAGAAGGCGTTTGAGCATTGCTTTTGGTATATGTATTATTGTCTTTCTGTCAGAAAATGCAAAAGATGAGACTAATACTACCACTATTACTTACTATTATGTATAAATAGTTTATCCTCTATTATAAAGATGAACTCTTCATTCATATTCATGAATAGTTTAGAATCAAGAATAACTACTTTTTAATCTCAATAGACTTCTTAAAAAGTGATTTTCAACAGTTTTTTCTGACCTGATTTTTAAAATATTTACCCTATTGAAAGTAACGGAACTGAATTTGATATTACAGTTTTTCATCCCTAATATGGAGATGGTTAAGAAATCTAAGAATTTGAAGATCATACAGTTATATCTGGTTCTGCTGTCTGAATTTCTTGATTCTAAGATATATAGTAAGGTTAAATCTACGTGAATTTTGCTGCAGAGCAATCTTCAGTGTGACAAGTGTTCTCATCAAACTTACCCAGGCAAAGCACATTTGATTAATTGATAAAGACGTTTGCTACCTAGTATAAATCCTTCTGCATAGTAATATGATTTTGCAGGTTACGTTAAAAGTGTAGTTCTCTTTTTAAAGGAAATAATGCAAACATAAAATGGAGTTCTTAGCATGAATCCTATTGTGCAAGCAAGATTTCCCACAACATTTAAATAAATGAAATGAGTATCTTCATATAGATTTTTTTCATCAAACTGGCTACCGTTATAAGTAAAGAACAGGAAAGCAAAGCAAAGCATGGATGAGAATTTTTTTTGTTTGTTTTTAGCTAAATAAATAGCTTCAGAATAGCACATCTTGAGTTAACAACATTGACTTTTGTGCCTTTTGCCTGCAAATTAGCAAGTATATTCTCCTCTTAATACCTACCTCTAAATGCCATTAATAGCAGTCAGGCCTATGTGAATGCCATGAGTTCTGTTGCATTAATATATCTATTTTCTCCTAAATGTATTGAAGTAAGCAGTCTAATGTCCAATACTTCCTTTTTTTTTGCTATTTTGCAGTACTGTGAAATAGTGGAAGTGTACATGGTAAAGTTTAAAAGCTTTAGCATTCTGTATTTGTATTGTGTTTAAATATGTGCATAAATATCTGGAAAAGGTACAAACATAGCCTGCCAAAGCCAATATTCCGTGGTCTTTAGTCAAGCGTATATGTCTTACCCAGTCTACCTGAAAACCGAAGCAATCATCTAATTATTTTTTCTGCTGCCAGAAAGTTTCAATTGTTTAAAGTAATGCTTATTCCATGAAAATAATTCCTCTTTGAAACAGGTAGTAGGAGGAAAGATGACTGAATCAGGTCGACTCTGTGCATTTATCACCAAAGTTAAAAAAGGAAGCTTAGCTGATACAGTGGGACATCTTAGACCAGGTATGTATCTGCTATAGAGTTGTACTGCTGCGTTGCTTTTCTAAAGGTGGTAACAAGAGAACGAGTTTAATTAGAAGTAAGATTATATTAAACAAATATCATGAGCTGCTGCAGAATTCAACCTGACATTCAGTTACTAGTTATCCACATTAGTACTTTTATGAAATACATAAAATCTGGTGTTTTTCAAAATGACATTTTTGTGTTTTCATTCATATTTTCATGTGCTCAAAATCACATATTCCACTGATGTCCTACCTGCTCAATTTATGGTGTATATTTTTATTTAGAGCTAAACCAAGCTATCACATATGAGCCAAAAGAACCAGTCCAGCTAAGAAACTTTTAAGTTCTGTTTCTGTCCCAACATGCAAACCACAAATTTCTCCATTGGAGAATGTGCAAGAAATATTAAATGTTAACGTAAGAACTATCAGAGAACCTAAATGCTAAACTTTTACATGGAAATGGGTCTTCAGAATAGTAAGTTGATTAGATATGCTGTTTTTTGAAGAAATGCATTTTCTAAAGATCATCATGTTGTTTTTTTTTTAAAAGCCACTATTAGCAATGCAAGTAAGAGCTATATCTAAATCAGTAGGTGTCCTAATGATAATGTTATTGTTTTGTTGACCTTTTCTTTTCAAAGTTGATCTGTAGAAATGTTTTAATGCTCACTATTTTCCTGTGTTTAAAATTCCAAACTTGTTCTGTAGCATAGGTTTCATAATTCAGTAAACTTATAATAGTATAGATTAAATTGTCATTGTAAGTACAGTTCACAGCAGAGTTCTTAAGCAGAGTATTATTACTGAAATTTTAGGTGATGAAGTATTAGAATGGAATGGACGGCTACTACAAGGAGCCACCTTTGAGGAGGTGTATAACATCATTTTAGAGTCCAAACCTGAGCCGCAGGTGGAGCTTGTAGTTTCAAGGCCAATTGGGTAAGTAACTTTGTAAATTTTAGTATTAGTTTTGATAAAAAGTCACTAAATTTCATTTTTATTAAAGAATATATCAAACAGATTCATAAATATTGTAAAGAATGAAATTATATGCAAAATTCTGTAAACTGTAGGCACAGCTAGAATGATAGGCCTTCGCGGCTGATAGAATGAGGGGATGTGAAATCCAGTATTCCCTGAGATAGCTCCAGGTGACATTTCTTCATGCCCAAACTATCATCTGCTGGTAGGGTCAAAAGGAGGTTCCCTTCAGCGGTTATTTAGTTGTTGTCCCAGCCTGGTCTGGCTCTGAAACTGTGGTTATACACTTTATCATCAAAATCCTTGATTATTAACTTTATTCTTGATTCTTACTTCTCCACTCCTGTTTTTATATAACATATATAATTATATGTTTATACTTGGGGCAGTGAACTAATAATAAACTCTATTTACTGATAGTCTGCAATGTGGAATTTTGGCCAAAACACAGAATGTTGACGACATAATCAGTATGCTTGGGAGACAGGGTTGAATCCAAATTTTCATCCTCTTCACCAGTGAGGAGATTATCTGTGAAGTTATTGCTTGGTATGTAAAAGAGAAGATATCCGCATGAATAGCTAGTAGCAGTGCTTATCTCAACTGTCCAGCACGTTTTTTTGGTGTTTCATACTGCACACTTTTGCCTGACATTCAGACCTACCTCTTAATGGCTAAACCTTAATTTTTCTTGCTTAGCCATTGAACATTTCTGCTTGCTTCATTATCTTAGACTATGAATAATTCCCCTTCTTTATCCATTCTTTTTCTTCAAGTTCTACAGACTGTGGTGATGTCCCTCTTTTACTTCTCCACTGGCAGTTCCATAGATGATCGTACTGGGGCTGTGAAAAGGGATGCTTATCACTGAAGTTGATTTGCGCTTCCTAATTGTAGACCTTTTTATTAATGACTTTGAAGATAATTTTGTGCGTAGGGACTTGTTTATAGGATCTGCAACTGTGGCTTACTATTGTTCAAAATATAATTAGTATGAAATTCATATGTAGTAATATAATTCCTGTGGGAGAAATATGTTTATATTATTACATGTAATTACATATTAAAAATATATTTATCCCTTTCCTTTTTCTCTAGACACACACACACACACACACACACACACACACAAAATTATCTTTGCTTCATACCGGAAATCATGAATAACATAGCAACTGAAAATAGGAAGTACTAACAAAAATCTAGAAACATCTAATCTGAGGCTGAAATTTCATTGTTATGGGTTCAGCTTCCAGATAATGTACCTGGGTGTGTTCAACTTGAAGAAACGACATGTAGGTCTTAATGCGGTTTGACAATTTTAACCTGGGAACTTGGTAACAAAAATTGCTTTGTCTTGTCAATGAGATGAGAGGTTCTCTCTTATGTATTGAATTGCAACCCCTTTAGGGCAAAAGCTGTATCTTCTGTCTGATCCATAAAAACCTTGGCATAACTTGGGAGCTGTCAATAGAATAGTAAAGCCAAGGGACAGACTACATTGCTGAAAGAATATTTTCTCAGAAGAGGTTTCACATACCTTTCATACATGTGTAAGATCTTCGCTTCTCTCAAACAGCAGAAGCACCAGTGCTGAAAATAGCTACTTTTTTTTTTTTTCTCTTTCTGCTTTCCTTTCACTGTGGAAAATCTCCTCTATTCTTTCCTGTGCTTTTATGTATGTTTACTCTCTTTTGTTTTTTACCTTCCTTATCATAATGTCTTTCATTGATGTAGCCATGCATGCCGCTTGCTGGCACTAGAGTGGCTCATGTATAATTTCTTAAAGAAGGCCATGCATGCTCTCCGGGTGCCCTCTTCAGCATTAACTACTTGCCTTATTGGCTGAAGAACTGAGCCAGATCAGGGCTAAATAGATTGTTCTGCCTACTTGATCCCTAGTCTCTTTTTGCAGTAGAAGAGCTTCTTCACTTCTAAATCTCCAGGTACTAGCATAAATGGTTTATATCTGAAGCCTCAATGTTAAATACTTTCTAGAGATATTATTTAGACTTTGAATGAATATTTATTTTAATCATCTGCAGGTTGGTGACTTTTTAGATTCTGATCAGATGATATATGTGACTCTTTGGAATTTGATATAAAAAGTAGAATTCAGAAGTGTTTTTCATGAGATTTCAGTTGATGAGCTGGAAATATCCTAGTATCTTCTCAGTTTAGGAGACTCCTGGTCATACTCAAAGGGACTATGGAAATGAACGTCTTATACTTGCCCAAGGGAACAAAGCCATAGGTCCCAGTTCTGCCCCAGCGAATAAAATAATCATCCCTTCAGACTTTGGATTAACTTGAACTTTCAGTGATTTTAAATAGAGTGAAACTTTATTCCCTGGAGCACTTTCACATTGAGGTATCTCCTATTATTAATTAAGATATGAGAGTCTCCTGATGATCTCATGGTAGTGCATTAACTCATGCCAGAAATCTTGAGACAGTCAGAGACTGGCAGTTAGCTTAGTTGAGAGAGAACCTGTTGTCTCATTCTGATATTCTGAATACAAAGACAAATTCCAGTAAACACTATGGGTAGTTCTTCCTCATTATATTATGGGCTGAATGTTAAGAAAACTGAAGATGACAAGCCAAGCTGATAAAGGAAGATGAAATGGAAAGATCCTTTTCAAAAAACAATGGTGCCATTTCTGCATATAATTTATCCCTTTTTCTCTCTTACAATAAAAACTGATGGCCAAGTTGCGATTCTGAGGGATCTGGCTATCTCTTACATGCAGCAACTTTTCCCTTTTCCTCTTCCTAATTCTCAGAAATATGTATTTTAAAATACATATTACTATTGTCATTTTAGAAGGCAGGACGTATTGTGTTGTACTAATTATTCTGTCGAATGTGCTTTCAATGAAACATATCTTAAAATGTCAAGGGGTGCTTAGAAATACTTACCAAAACACCCTTTCTCTCCATGCCAATACAAGATTTCTGTAGTTGTTTCTCCTATATCTGTTTGTCTTGGTGAGAGTTCCCTGTAAGAAATGCCATTCACATGATGGTGAAATACTGTGGTCTGAATGTTTCAGGAACATACATGGTAGTGTTCAGAGCTTTCAAGTTTATTGTTTCAGCTATCTGCAGAAAACTCTTATTCTATCTGTTCACAATGGTACATGTTTTCAAGGTTTTCTTCTCAAACTCATATGCTAGAAATAATTTTAAATTAAAGGTTAGATTCTAGAGTGTATATTTGAGTGAAGTAATAGGCAAGGATTGGGTTCCTCTATAAATGCTACAAATATCACGTGTGCAAACTATTAGTATTTACTTTTTCAATAGCATTTAAAAGTTTCTGACCTGTTTTGCTTACTAGCAACAGAGACAGTGATGTTTCCTTAGCCACAGTGAGCAGTAATGCCAGTCACGTGGCTTTTGATGCATTTTAACTATTGGGTGCTGCAGCACCAGTTCGTCTGGTGAATGGAATTCCTGAATTTGTTTAGTGAAGCTATTTTTCTAGTGACTGTTGATAAATGTTCAGTAAGAGTATACCAAAAAGGAACTAGGTAAGTTTTATTTATATGTAGTATAGACTTTCTTTCATTGGATCAAGAAGTGGATATTACTGAAAGCGTTTTTAACGTTCCCCTCCTCTTAATAGTCCTTCAAAAACCGAAATCTACTGAAACACACAAAATCATTTTAACTACTGTTTTTACTGTGACTAAGAACTGAAGGTCATAATCTTGCCTTGTTTTGCGCAAGTGCTTCCAAAATGTTTCTGTTAGGGTATTGTTAATATAGCAATGTTTGTCCCTCGCAGGCCGAGTAGGTCCCTGTGTGTGGGGTGAGCATAATGAGGTACTCAGTCATTGCCACTGAGTGTTCCAAAAATACATAGCTGTACATGCCGTTTAGTACCGGTGATACAGCAGCTTGTGCATATGCAAGTATGTAATTTTGTCAAATGCAGTTGTACCTTTAGTCTTCTCGCAGAAAAGCTAAGGTCTTCCAAGTGTGGGGCTTAAGAAGAGTAAAGGACATAGTGGGATAGCCAGTACTGAGGGTCTGGTGTGTTTGATCAAGTGTCCAGTAAGTTTAAATCGTTTATAGTGTCATAATAAAGTTTACTACTCACAATTTCAGTCTGTCGTTGATTCTGAGATTTTTTTTTATTTATTCAATTATTTTATTTGTGACTACAGAAAACTGCATTCAGTTTCAATTGTGACTACACAAAACTGCGTTCGTAGAACTCCTACATTCACCAAACCACCTGTGCTGTAGGTTTTAATTTGCCACTGAAATTAGTTATATGGGACAAAGGAAAAAACCTCCCTGTGGCTGAAGACAATCAGTAGATTGTGTGATTATCCTGAGGCATTCCATGGTGACTTGAAAAATGTTACAGTTTAACTGAAATATGAATCTGATTGTTAGATCAGCCTGTCTTACTTTTCCTGATTTCAGGGATATTCCCAGAATACCTGACAGCACACATGCACAGCTGGAGTCCAGTAAGTTTCAATTGTGGGGTAGGAAAATCTTCTCTCTCTTTTATGTAAGCACAAGTAGATTGAAGTAGGTTGTCGTTTCAGTCAGCATAGCCCTGGTCTGTTTGTCTGTATTTGTCTCAATATGTCATCATCCTGTATTATCTGTTTATCTCATCTACCTTTGTTTAATAATAACCTATCGGAAGTAGGGCTATGCTAATTTAGATTTGACATTTTGTTATAAACTTAGGCTGTTTTTTGTTGAAAAGAAAAACCTAATGCTGACTAATATGCAAGAACATTAATCCTAATTTTTAATTTCCTTTTCAACTAAAAATGAGGATGAACTATTAATTATTTAAAACTAAAGAGACAGTTACTTTGAAATCAGAATTCTTCTATTTTATTAGGACTATCCAGCTCTCTTTAAATAGGCTAAACCAATATTTATGTGAGAAAAATAGCTTGTTCTTTGGCTTAGATCTTGTAAGATGGCTTTCAGCCTGGAGTTATTTTTTTTTTATCATTATTTTAGAATTCTTTTGTAATAGAAGCTATTAATAAATGCAGTGTCATAAACTTAATTATAGTAATGTGAAAAAGCTCCTACAATAACTCTTCACTGATGAGCCAAATCTTAAAATAAAATCCATTACATTTTGTGAGATATGGAATATTAATAAGCAGTATTTTGTACTTATAATATAGTCCTTTTTTACTCTACATTTTATATGTCAAAGCTTGTTCTCTGACAGTTTGCAGAAATTATTACAGGTTAGAAACAAAATGTACAAGATACTTGATCTGCATCTTGATATTTTTATAAAAATCTAATAAAAACAATAAGCCTAATTGTACAAGTGAAAAAGTATTCTTCAGAAGACTGAATTCCTTTGACCACATTAATGTAAATAGCAGTTTGGGGCCTTCAATTTACAGGCATAATTACTGTGGATATTATTTGAATAAACTATTATTTGTTCTATATGCTTGACATGGCATTTTAAAGCTATAATAAACTTGGTAAGCTTTTGATTGCATTTCAGCATCAGAAGATTGAGTATCACTATTTGATCATTCTGAATAGGTAAAATAGCAATTCTAGCACAATAAACAACTTTATTACATGTGTGATTATTTGTATCTTTTTATTTAAAGAATGTTGTGAAAAATATGTAAGTGGTACTATTTATAAAAAATATATTTATGATTACAGGTTCTAGTTCATTTGAGTCTCAAAAAATGGACCGACCTTCTATTTCAGTGACTTCTCCTATGAGTCCTGGCATGTTAAGGGATGTTCCACAGTTCTTGTCTGGACAACTTTCAGTATGTAAACATTTCATTAATATTAATGTTGTACTTTTTTTCAGCATATCCAAAGTTTTGTGCAGAGTGCAAGCTAGCTCTAAAATAAATTTCTTGTTAAACCTTCTAATTTTTTTTTGGTTATGTTATATATCTCAGAATAGGAAGGGACATAGTTTTTTAAGAGCTTTTAGAAATTTTACATCGTATGTTATGTTAGACATATATATGTGTATTTTCCTAGTAAGCTGTCAGATTGGTAGTCAGATGTTCGGAAAGGCCTAATCTTGTCCTCCAGTTATATTTGTGCAGTTGTGTGTATATATTTTTGCAACTGTAACACCTACGTGTACGGTTGGTAAGTTTTATCAGCTGCGTGCTTGGACAATAATACTGTTTGTTTTTATGCCCTAGCTCTCAAATATGACTTTTATCAGATATCCCTTTGCCTGTTTACTAATGTTATACTCATTATAGCAGTATGTCATGTTATTCACTTTCGTTCTTCACTCTTACTAAGTTCATTGTATGAACGTTTTCTTTGAAAGGATCATTTTGGTACTAAACTGATGGACTTAGGTTTTTTACTTCCTTCTGTGCCATTTACGGCTCCAAAATGTGATTTTTCTAAGTGCTTAGTTGTGGTCTGGTAGCTTTTGAAATTGAGAGGAAAACAAAATGGAAGCAGTGCAAAGTTGATGCAAGTTTGAAAACGTCACATTTAGATTTCTTCCAAGATGTTTATGTTAACATAATGAGTGGGCTATAAAAACATGCCGAAAATCTAAGCAGACTGCTTATAGGTCTCACACAAATGGTTTATGGTGTCTATAGAAGAGAGGAATAAATATTTTCTGTCTGGTCAGCCACCATGTCCACTCTATTTTGCAATGCATGGGACGTTATTTGTTTTGCTAATCAGACCAGCCATCTGCAATATATAATTTTTAATTTTGTGTAACTGCTGTACTTAAATACTTTGAAAGACGGAATCCTTTGGAAAATGTAGAATTAGAAATCATCACTGTACACTTTGTACAAAATATAACAGCTTCAGTGTTTTGCTTTTCATGTTTTTAATCAGCTGTTTTCTGACGGGATAGTTGGTGGAGCAGTCATTCATTCACAAGTAGCTGAGTAAATGGAAATGGAAGAAAATACTGACTTCGTAAAATTGGGAATGTGCTTTTTGTGGTGAGTGCCTAGGCAGGAAAATAATTGCAGCAGGCTGCGGGTGGATGGGGGACAGAATGCAGAAAGGTGCTGTGCTTTGTGGCAATGCGAGGACATGTGAAAAAGCGTGTCTGGTGACATGCTGAGAGCTGGTGGGTGAATCCAGGCAGGTGTGAGGAATCGTGATGAAATGGGTGACAGACAAGATTTCCAACGTGTTTTCTGTGTTTTCTGATAATCCTCTGTAGTCTGATGGGCTGTTGTCAGGGTAGTTGTATGTAATAGGCTGTGAAATAGCAAAGTTGTGGTCAGAAGTGGAGAAATCTGCACGTTCTTTTAGGTATTTCGGCAAAGTTGTGTGTTACTTCAGTTTACCCCATATATACTTCAGGCTATCTCTAATGCCAGCTCTTTGTGTGCTCCTGTATGTGTAGCGTGCTCAAATTAAAATGGCTATGTGCTCAGATATGTATTTTGGCACAATTCTTGTGTCGGATTTTGCATATTTACTTGTATAGATGGATAGTGTTGAGCGGAGTTTTGCTTTGGCCTTAAAGACGTAGAATGAAAAAAGGCTGATTGAGTTCTTATCTAATTATGTTCCTTGACCGAGACATTTGTAATTCAGTACATAATTTAAGGTCTTCAGTGACAGATTTTTTGGAGAAGCCTTGAATACCTTTAGAAGTGAATAAGCACCCTCAGTATTTAATAGTTTTGACATTAAGGCAATTTAGCTAGGTGTTTAAATCAGAAGTTAAGTTTCCGTATTTATGCATTTGACTCCTAGACAAAAATAAGAAAGCATTAGAAATGATTTTAGAAGAAAAGAGAATGTGTTTCTAGTGGTTGCTATGTTGAATCTCAGGTGGTTTAGGGTATAGCACAGAAGTTATTTAGCCAGGTTAATTGCAGTGATGCCTTTTTCTCTCTGTCCAATCTTACACGTTTTTCTCTGAATTGGGATTAGTCTGTGTACCTGTTTTCTTCTGTTGAGGCTGCAGTGACACTCCTACACTGACTGACACTCCAGAGCTGAGTAATAGGATTTCCCACTAAGCAAGCCATCCTGCATACTTTAGAAATCATCTTTCCATCGATAATTATTCTACACAAATACATATTTAATTGAAACAAATTATGTGCAGCTACACTAAACTATTGTTTGTCATAGTATACTAAGATATTGGAATAATTTATTACCTGTGCTTTGTGCAATTTATTTTATGGTGTTTTTGGTCCACGTTGTTCTTTGAGGGGAGTACATTTGGTTGTTGTTGCATTTGTTGTTTTATTATTATTTGCCTTGTCTGGTTCCTGTTGGTATGGTTTTTCATTTATTTGTTTTTCTTTTAATGACATTTTGAAAAAGTTAGTATTCTTTGTGTGTTGGTGCTCTTTGCTTCATTACTGCATTTGGGCTATTTTTTCAATGCTGCATGAAAGGTATAACTCGGAATGCTTCTGCAGTAGTTAGTTAGCGTTAGAGACTGATAACCTGACTAGAAGAACAGGTAAATGGGTACATGTATAGAATTACACTATTTCTTTTTTTTTACTAGTGGAAATTCTAACAGAGAAAAGTGTCGTCATTTATGAAATTAAGCTATTTGCTTGTTCAGCTGAACCACAGAAGCGTTTGTACTTCGACAGATTTTCCATGCATATTCAGTTTATAAAGCAGTAAAATGAAGGTATATTAGTTCTCATTGAATAATCTGCAGCATATTAGAAAGGGGATATTGCACATTGCAAAGAACATGATATGTCTGTGTATCTAGGGGGAAGATGAGGTCAAGTATGAGGCATGCTTCACCTGTGCCTTTGCCTATCCTTTCCCCTTTCCCTTCCCCTTCCTTTCCTCTATCCCTTCCCCTTCCTCTTCCCCATCCCCTTCCCTACTTTCTATGTTTCAGGACAGGTAACCCAATGTTGTCCTAAGGTTAAAGTTTGTGTAGTGTGAGTATGTGCTTGTTGCCCTCCATCTGCAGGGCACAGTGTGGCAGCTGTGGGTTCCTGGGGCATGGTGGAGACATTCTGTCCCTTTAAGGATTGTGATATTCTGAATATCTATATTTCTGTTGTAATACAGAGCAGAAGCAAGCTGTAGATCTACTTTCGTTGTGTGTAAGTAGGTCATATTCTGGCACCCTTAACATTAGGCTGTACAGTACTGCCGTGCAATGTGGGGGGCAGTGTGCCACTGCTGCACCTCAGGAGCACATCAGACAAAACCTGTGACTCAGACTGTCGAGTTTTCTTATATATCCTCTTGCTTCGCTATGAGAATAGATTACTTCACACTTTTTATGGAACAGATTTCTCCAGCATCTGTGCACGCCAGGTATGCGAGAACCATTCTTCAGTTCGCTGCCTTTCTCCATGCTCTGGGTACAGCTGTTATGGAAGTGAACACAACACTGGGCAGTAGCTTCTTTCCCTTACTTTGAAGTAGACTGATAATCTCAGGAAAACGAAGCAGGGAGGCAGAGATTTTTTTTACTTGCTGAGTTGCCTTTAGGCCCAGCCAGCATTACCAGATTGCTGTGGCTGTTGTGACATCCTCCCATACTCCTGTTCCCCCCCTTATCCAGTCTCTGACCTGTTGGGGTGTGCTCCTGCTCCTGTCCGGTCCCTGTGCTCAGGTGTCTTTTCTGTCCAACTCCATTACTGCTTGCTCTAAGCTGGAGACGGAGAGTGGCTGGAATTTGTAGCTGGTCCGGGAATTCAGGCGTGCGGCTGGTACCGATAGTCTCAATGTAGCTTCTGAGATCCACAGTGTCATTATGTCATTAAATATTAATTCACGAACATAAGGGTTATAAATGGGTCTTCTGTGTGCTATGTGGCTAAATGCTATAGATCGCATTTCGTGCAAGGGTTTTCTGTATATACCATATGTCATTTCTGTCATGATTGCTAGATATTGGAAGTATATTTATTGCACCTTCCCCGCGTACTGCTAATATCAGATAGCCTTTTCTTTTAATCATTTTTAAAGTATTTAGTAGGGCTTTCTATAGAAATGCCCTTTAAAGTCACAGCTGTGGAAAACTTAGTATTGCTTTCCTGTAGAAAGCAGCCGAAGCTGTCAGTGTGTGAACTGTATTTGTTTCAGTCTCTGAATATGTGTCTACAATCTTTCTGAAAGAGAGGGTCAAGTTGAATTTATATTTTCTAGCCCACTTTTAAATCACACTTTGCTGACCTGCTGCTTTTGTTAATGTTATTTTTAAATCTATTGTAAATGTTATCCTTTGGCGAACATGTCAAACGAAATCCTTGCTCCTGGGGAATCAGTGGCAAAATGCCTGCTGACTTCCTTAAGGCTAGAATTTCAATCACAGAGTTTTGATATGATTTGGTAGTAGGTTTGCGGATTTAATTTATATGTTGTGTTAAAATACTTCGTTTTAGATAAACATGTCCTTGGTGTAAAGCTGTGTTTAAAGTAATAGTTGTGTGTCTTTGTTTTTACTTTTGGTCTTTTAGTTTCCAGCGTGTTGTCCTTTTTGGTTTTGTTTTATTGCTTTTTCTTTAATTTTGCTTACCAGAGCCAAAGCCTTAGTAGAAGAACAACGCCTTTTGTTCCTAGGGTTCAGGTAAAGGCTTCGTCTGCCTGACAGAAACTAAAATTGTGTTTTTTTCTTTTGTGTGTTATGGAAAATGCATAGTAGGAAAACGTTACACTGTAGTCCGTTTTCCCATATTTTCAGTGCGTTGCTTTAAACCATATTAACAAGTTTCATGTCATCTTGTGAGCAGCTTGTAAAGTTCTGCATGGAGGTTAAAATATTAAATTACAATTTAAAGAGACAATTATTTTTTGTTTTGTTGTTTACCCAATATATTTAAACTCACACAGGTTTCAGCAGTGATAATGGCTATGTATCCCCCATACATAATGTATGTATTGCTTAAGCAATAAATAATTTTGTCCTGTTACATTTGAGCTCATTCTATCAAGATCAATGTCTCTTTAAATCATTCATTATTGTTAACACATCCTTTTTTGCATTTTCCAAGTAATAGTAGCACCTTGAGTGGAAGACAGGCAAATAAGTTTGTACCTGGTATAAAGAAACAAATTTTTTGTGTCTAAAATTCAGTTCTTGCGTTTTAAAAGTTTGTCAAAATAACTGAAAGTTCATTTACTTCAAAAATGATATCTGCTTTTGTGTTACGGAATTTATTTAGCTTTAAATAGTCTTTTGGGTACAACTTGTTTGCCTTTTTTCATTAGGAAACTCTTAAGGTACTGTAGATTAATGCAAAAGTAAGTTTTACTAATATGTTACAATGCTTATCTTGCTTTGCTGCATGTTTTTCAGTGTTTTGTGTATAGAGTATTATCTGCTTTTGTTACAAAATATCTTTATGAAGATGTTAATCTTTTTTGTGGGAGCTGTAGAAACGTTTCTCGTTTGATCAGTTACTCAAAGAAAGATGTAAAGGAGTGGATCTAAATGATGAAAATGAGATGATTAAATTTCATATTGAAATGGAAAAAATGATCGTATAAATTCATAAAGGAATTCTAAATAACACTATAGAAAATGATTTGGTTATGACTAAGAGTTGATAAACTATGCACATATATTTTAACAATGTGTTGTTTCCCTAAAGTAGTCCTTAAAAGTGCTTAAATATAAATTCCCAATAAAAATGTAAGAAAAGTTTAAGATTACAAAACTAGGGTCTTGAAAGTATTGCTTAAAGTAAATATATTCCTATGTGCTATGGACATAAACTGACTTTCTGTTAAAAATTTAAAACATATTCTTTAGTATGATTAAGAAAGTTAGTTTCTCCTTGTGATAATAAAATCAAAGAAGGGTACAAATTCTATCACAAATCTTTAAGTACTTGAAAAAGGTAAATATTGTATTCAAGATAAATAAGTAGTTACTTAATACTTCTTTTTCGATACGTGTAAAATAAATTAAGAAATAATCTGACAATTGAGTGTTCACTTGAAAAAGCAAATGTCAACTTGTAACTGTTTCATGAAATACTGTAATGTAGAAGTGACATGTGGTAGTTATTATTTTAAGCACGTTATATAAGATAAAAACATAGATAGATATAAAATTTGTTAGCTCTTTTTAGACTAATATCATTAATTTAAAAAAACAAAATAATTTGCTATGATCAAATGATTATGGTACTTATTTAAGATAATAAACAAGTTTAGTGCTTGATAGAGAATATCCAGCAGAAAGTAAGAGTGTATCTCAGAGGCTTACTCCCAGACTTTGGATTGTGTTATTTGTTATATTATAGATTGGAACTGTCTTTAGCCTTAGTTTTGCTTCTGCACAATGTCTGTGGAACCCTTGTGGACTCCTTTAACAGTTTTTTGCAGAGCTCAGTAATGGTCAGAGCCAAATATAATGATGTCTATATGACAAGAGTTCCTGAAGAGCTCAAACTTAAGCCTGTGAGAAAATCTTTTCACCTAGGCTGAAACAAAAGGTCAGGCTGCCCATCTGCCCGCTTTCAGCAGAGGAAGTAGATAGTTTAACATGAATTAATTTAAGATATGTTTACAATACGGGGAAGAGCAGAGACTCCAATGATCTTTAAGAAGGCTAGCTTGGCTATTAGACTGGGATCCAGTAGCAGTGCAGAGCTGCAGCTGCTTTTGGGTGTGAGGATTTAGCTAACTCAGAGCTCTGAGCTGTTGTTTATGGCTAAGTCAGGACGTATATGTTACATTGTGGGCTGTGATTTAGCTTGTCTGTAGAATTGGCTACAGGAATGAGGATCTCCAGACACTTCTGTTTATACCTATTTGTTTCATTGCTCTTAATGGAAAGGCACATCTTTATTCTTGCTTGCCTCTTCTCTCCTTCTTAATTTGAAACTGATCCTGGTGATGCACGTTCCAGATTCTGGCACAGGTTCCTCCTCCACACTTCTCTCCATGCCCTTCCACCCATTTGCTATCTCTTGTAACCCTTGATGATTTAACAATTATAAGTATTTTATTGAAAAGAAAAACAATCATTTTCCTTTTTCCCTTGCCATGCACTCTTCTCCTGAAATTTTACTACTTATATAGCTCTTAGAAAGAAGTGTATTTATTCCTTGAAATGTTTAGCTTCAGTTTAGCATACCAGCAGTTTTCTAACTTAAAGAATCATGTTTTCTAATATTTCAATAGTGAATCATCTGTTCTTAAATGTATTTTCCTTGCAGTATCTCTTATTCATTTAGTTGAACCAGACTGAGCTGCTTATTGAGCCAGAGTTGCAATTAAGCCACTATTTTTTTCTAACTTAAGAATTTCACGCATCCTTTTTACTTTAATACAGAATATTATTATGTTTGATGAAGCCTAAAAGTATACACTTGCATCTATTTGACATTGCTGGAATCAAAATGAAGCCACTAAAACAGAAATTTTAATTACGTGTATGTGAATAGCGTAAATGCCTCCATAATTTTCTGGCCTTCATATCCTTGAAGGCAGCCTTTTCTGACAGTCTTTTCTGGTATTTGTTCCAGCATATCAGACAGCACCCCAAGCAGGCAGCGTTGATAGTTTGATTTAGCAACACTCAGTAGTTAGCCTTTGTTAGAGCTAGGTTTAAGAACGACCAAAGCTTATCTCAGCTACACCACAGACTTTACCACTAAGGGCATGTGCAACCTTATAAGCGTAGTCCAAATAAAATGATTGCTTTAAGCATTTTGAAAAATAAAAGAACAGTTTTTTTCAACACATATCCTACTGAGGTATAATGAAAAGAGGAGAGAAAAGTAGTTTCTCAGTTTCAAAATATCACAGCCGTAAACATCTATACTAGTTAGAATAAAAATCATGATGAAGAAAATAAGAGCAAAAATGCAGGGCCAGCTGTGTCTTAAACCTAGTGATGTTTTGACCTGAGCCATTTTCACTTTGCTGTGGTAGTAGAGTTCAAGCTCCGGAGCAGGCATTCTTTTGCAGTCGCACAAGGGTATTTCTTAATCCCATGAAATTCATTAAGCAACTCTTATAACAAATAAATAAGTGTAGCACAGAATTAATAAGTATAAATATTCTCTGGTTTTAAATCTAAAGTTACCATTTGAGATATGGAGTGTTATACACGAAACACTGTATTAGAAATACATAGCTAAGATTGATCAGTGAAGTATTCATGAGATAGGAAGATAGGAAATGCCAGTATTATATTATTATATTATTTCAGTTTTCTTAACTTACTTCCCTTATGCAGATGTATTAAGGTATTGATCCTAATTACATGATCACTTTTTTTCCAGGACTCTGACTTCTGTCAGTGTTCTGAATAAAAAATGTCCAGTTAGGGCAAGATATACAAGGAAAAAGGTTGAAACGTAGTAAAGTTAGTTTATGTGCTTAAGTAAGTTTAAAAGTGAAAAGTGAAAAGTAAGTGAAAAGACCTAGGTGAAAAGTAAGTTTATGTGCTCTTATGTAAGTGAACTTACATAAGTTAGGGATGCTAGCCTCAAGTAAATCTGAGGTGCCTTGTGGGGCAGCTTGGGCAGTTATCCACTTGTACAGCTGGAGGAAAAAAATAGATGCCTCGATATCTACAGTGAGTGATCCAGGCCAAATAGAGGATGCCTGTCTCCATTAACTATATGGAACTTAGGTTACTGTAAACAGTGAGTCAATCCATTGAGGTAGGGGTCTGTCTCTTCTTCTGAGGATATAGGTACTCAAAAGGGAATACCAGGTACAAGCATCATCACTTCTTAGAATGCTGCATGAGCAGCTACCTTTTGTATCCTGCCTTATGTGTAGAACGGTCATTCCAGAAACAGGACATACGTATTTTGGGTCCTCCTTAAACTGGAGGGATTGAACATGTCTCTCAGAAAAGTTTCTTTATCATCAAACTATTACACATCCTTATCTTCTTTGGAGCATGAAGTCTTCCCTGAAGTTGAGATACTCTGTGGCCAGGAATATGTGTGTTGTGCTAGCTGGTCAGCAGGCAGAGAAAGCTTAATTTTAGCTTAGCATGTTCCAGAATTACCACCCAGAATGTGTATTGATCTTGCATTACAGCACTATAGGTTAAAAAGCAGAGAGAGTCCTGTGAAGATGGGACCAGACCTCAGCTCTGTTCTCTCCCTGACAAATACCTTCATCAGTGAATTGCAGGTAGTTCCTATTGCTTAAGCTCTGTATGACAGGTACTTTTACCTGGAAACCCCTCTAAAGCAGTGTGGCAGATGCACCACTCTTCGGATGACAGACCTTCTCACAATTTAAGGGTTCATTGAGTTCAGATGCCTGTTTGCCTGAATATAGTTCACAAGAGTAGTTTACCCAAGAAGTAGGTGCACATCTGTCTAGAAGAGGAAAGTATATGAGCATATGTATGACATGCAAACATAAGTTTCCATGACTTCCACACTAAGTAGGAAGATCTTTAGAAACTATTCCAGTTGGCTCAGTCTCTGATAAGGTGAATTTTAGGTGCCTAAATCCTAAATTAGGTAGGATTTAGGTAGATGAGGTCTTATCCAAGTTGATTTTTACAGACATTACCTTCCACATTAGCATCACGCAGCACAGAGTTCTTGTGGTCTATTTCATGTGTTGCAATTTTGGCCTCTCCTTCCCTCCATTTAGATCAGGATGGCATCTGTCACAGTTCCTTAGATGTCTAAATTTTTATTTGAATCACCTCCTTTTATAGGTGCATTTCCTGTATGTTCAGAAAACTGCTGCATGGAGGTTTGTAGGATCTGCTCCGTTAGACAGCTCCTTAGCTCTTTCAGTACTGAGCATCACAATGCCTGTGTATTTCTGTGGGACTTTCACTCTCTAGATTGAATAATTCAATGCTTTTCTCTTTGTGGTATTAGGAATCTTTTCTGTGTACTATTCAACACAAATATAAGGGAAAAATTAATTTGCTCATGGACTTTTCCATTATACATATGCTATCCCTGTGTTGATTTCACAATGTAAAATGAATGGAATAGTCTATGAGGTGTGGTAGGATTGTTCTGCATTTATTGGTTATGAACTGAGAAATTATGACTGAGCGATTAGATGATCTCCAGAGGTCCCTTCCAACCTAAACGATTAAGATCAAAATCTGAGACAGCCAGGTTCTGATTTTTCAGTGACTTTAGCACTATACAGGCCTAATACTTCAATTCAAACATTGTGACCTCAACACTTCCTCAAATCAGGCTCCAGTGTATCAGGTCAGAGTCCCAGATAATGAAGAATGTGCAATTTGTAAATCCCTTTTGAAATGTTTCAAACGATCCATCCTCCAACACACAAGACCTTTGGGAAAGAGGAAGGGATGGAGTCCAGTCCTCTTGGAGAGCAGCCATCTGTCTTAAATGACTGTCCTTTCTCTCTTTGTGAATATAAAACACAAGATCCTTGTAGGAAAATACAATAACATCCACATATTGTGTCATAATATGCACATATTGCATATGCACAGGAGAGTCAGAATTAGGTCAGTCCTATTCCCAATGCCATGTTCCATGTTTAGTATGCTACTCTAAATCCTTGTTTCTCATTTTTCCTTCCAATTTCCAGCCCTGACATCTTGTCACATTTTTCTTTTATCTCACTCTCTCTATTCAACATATTTTGCCCCAGTTATGGACTGACTGGGTTCTTTGTTTGCCTCATTCCACTTCTCCCATCCAGTCTGTTTCTGTGCCCCTGTTCTTCTATTGTCCCTAACATCAATGACTCTGTTCTTCCTGTGTTTCACCAAGAAGCATCCGGTATACTGTTTTTTTTTTTCCATTGTTCTAAAGCAGCTTCTTTTCATTGTCTCCTCTTCCTTCTTCTAACCTCATGAGATTGCAGACCCATCCACCCCTCTGTGGGGTTTTTCATCCGTTCTCTCACTCCCACGGTTTCTTCTCTTCTCTCTGTATCCAAGTCAAATGACTTCTTGGGTTACAGTGCCTGTGCTGTGTTGGGAGAGTTAGCATTGTGAACACAGGAGAGAGAGACTTCTGCTCTTCATTCTACCTCCTGGCCTGGCCTGTAACAAGCCAGGTCTGTAGTTTCTGGGGAAGGTGCCCATTATGTACATGCTCTTCCACATTTGGACAGTGCCATAAGAAAAGAGTATAAGATGTGAGTCACTGCAAATTTTAAGTTCTTGATCCAGAACACAGAGGTTAGGGCATCTCAAATAAATGGTGTCAGAGGTTTTAACATTCCCCTTCAGGTCATTCTCCAGAGCATTTTGGATGAAGTTTTTTGCAAAAAATCCAATCTGAAATAGATATAGCAAAGGAATATTTAGTCTGAACATGAGCGGTTGTATTTTTGGCACCAAGGTTTGGATTATCTCACCTTCATTCAGTCACAGATTTCAGTAGTGGCTGGATCACAAATATATTGCATTCTGCTTAAATGAGGATAATTTTCCCAGAAAAACAGGTGATGAGGAATGTCCTTCACTGCTATTCCCCTTGAGAGAGTGGCCCTAGCAAGTGCTTGTGAATAGACAAGTCTGTCCTTTGCTCACGGATGCCTGAAGCAAACTGCAGGTGGATGGTAAAATGTAGGTGTCCTTCCTGCATTTAATGACAGAGGCTTGCTTTTAAGATGGCTTATACTTCAGATGTCATCAAAGCCTCTCTTTGGGTCTGTGCGGTTGGTGTGAACCTTTCTACTTGTGATCTGTACCTGGATGAAGATTTGTAATAGCCTAGATGATTCTCAGTTTAGAGAAATATTGACAGAGCCCCTTACTTTGCAGGAATGGAGGAACAGCCTCTAGAGCTCTGCTGAATAAAACATATTAAAGATAATTTCTTCCACACATTTTTCTGCCTTAGTAGTCACAGAGTGCTTTAACTGTTGGTGCAAGAAGCCTATAAAGTCAGAAGCAGGTCCAAGGGCATGGACCTGCTTTTCTTTAATACCTGCCCCTTTTCTTTAATACCTATTCAAACACTGCTGGCTGGTGGCTACAGGAAATGTAGGAACTGGTAATGGGGTAGGAAGTAGAAATACACTGCCACCACTGAATGAATTGGTAGGACTGAGCGTCACTCCACTTACTGAAGTATTAGAAATGGCAGAAAGGTAAACCAGTCTCTTGGTCGTGGGCCAGAAGACTTGAGAACTGCATCAAGACCTTTCTTCAGGGGACTGAAATGCAGAGGATGAGGAGCTATGACAGCAAATGGAGACCCTGTATCCGAAATGATGTGGGTTAGGCTCCATAGAAGGGGCACCTGCCCCTGATTACATTTACCTTAGGCAGAGTCTAAAGGTGCACTGCTTTGCAAAGTGTGGAGTTGGGCACTATCCTCTTTGATTCCCTCAAGTTCAGGGAAGGACAATGTGTCCTTTAAATGTTCTAATTTGTCCTTTGCCTCAAGGAAGCCCCCCAGGAAGACAGTCTGCTTTGTCAGCTGTAGTTAATAATATTGTAGTGGTACTTCCATGTAATGACTCCCTGATTATTTGCAAAGTTTTGTTATGCCCTGCCTGCACCATTTCCCCGTGCCAGAGTGAGTGCTCTAAAGCAGGTATATCCTCTCCTTGGATAATATATTGGCAGCTATAATTTTCAAATTGGAACAGTTAAATAGCAGCTTTTAATGACTGTGATAAAAATGGTTGTCCGTTGCTACACCAACTCTGAGAGTGATTAATAGTAAGGATAATTTCTACAGAGTAATAGCAGTTTTTGCCCTGTTGTTGCTGAGTAGGACTGGGAAGAGAGTTGGTCAGCTGAACCTCCCTCTCACTTTTTTATAATTTCTGGAAGGCTTATTTGAGTTCAGTATAAGTCTCCACATCTCCTTGGAAAACATTTTAAGGAGACTCAAGATGTTTATGGTCTTACCCCACAGTCTTTCCAGCACAACAGGACATGAAACATTCCTTCATTCATTGTGAATAAAACCCTTAGAAATGGATATAGATGAATACCATACATCAGTAATAGAAGTAATACAATACTACTGCCAAGAGAGAATAATCCTAACCAGAGCACCATGTGAAAGACAATTAGTATGAAGTAATGTACTTACTATATAAAGTTTTAAAAATGAATGATTCCTGGTACATACTGAAGGTATTAAAGTATTAACTTATTTATTTCTGCTTTATTATAAGTACAAAATAGAACACTGTTTCTATGTTTAAGTAACCGATATAAATAGAAGCTAATGAATAAAATTAATTTTAAGGATTAATGTGCTACTTTGTTGGAGAAATTAGTTCACTAACAAATATTTTCTTATTACAGATAAAACTGTGGTATGACAAGGTTGGTCATCAGTTAATAGTCACGATATTGGGAGCAAAGGATCTTCCTTCAAGGGAAGATGGGAGGCCAAGGAATCCTTATGTTAAAATTTACTTTCTTCCGGACAGAAGGTAGGGTGAACAGAAAGACGAGGAGCTTTTGAGTAAGAATCAATGTGATATTCAGAATGTGGAGCTGAGTTTGCTGGTCATACTCTCATGGAATAATCTTACAGGTTGGAGTTTCTTTATTGAGCATGCTATGTAACAGCAGTTTGGCTTTGAACACTGGACACAAATTCACTTTAGCTGGATATTTTATTAAATACTGAATGGAAAAGGAAAGGTAAACATACCTCTTTGCATGCAAAATATATTGCAAGATATATTGTTGGTGCTTTGTTATGCTCTTATTTCCTAGGCAGTTATTCCTGTCTGATGCACAGAAAATTGCACAGAATTAGGTTCACAGACTTCTGGACTGATATTTCTTCAGCACTTTGTTTTCCCCCCACCTTTACATTGCAAAACAGGAGAAGGTGTGACATCTGAAACCTGTGGATTTCATATCACAGTATATATTGTAGTGGGCAAGATATTGAGAATCCCCAGATACAAGTGGAAGGCTTTCCCCAAAGCACGTGATTTATATTAATCTGTACCTGTGACACACATGCATCTAAGGAAAGTGATACAGTGGTGGGGGCCCTTCTTCCTAAATCACTTCTTTATTTCTTAATCCATGATTTTCTTTCATTTGCACTTGGGTGGCAGGAGGAACAGTAAAGGGGATAGTATGTCCCCAAGCTGACCTTTTTTTTTTTTTTTTGTATTTCTTCAGCACATGTCAGTAGGGGAAAATATTTAGCTTTATTTTGTAGTCTATCAGTCAGCTAATTCAAAGGTTTAACCTGACTCAGTATTTAAAAAATTGGCCAGTGGACTGCTGAATCTGTAGAAGTGGTTGTATCTTTACAGCTTGTGTTTTTACATCCTTTGGTTTTCATAATATCTAAACTGGGAAGATGCTAGCTATCTTTAGTTCCAATTGACTTCATCCGGAAAGAAAGCTGTTCAGTTCTTTGGAGGACACTGCTTTTCCACTTACATTTTATGCCATATGTTAACAAGAAAATTTGCTGTGACTGCATAAATTATGGTATGATTTGACAGAAAGTTCTTGGCTGGATTGTCTTTGCCTCAAAAATATTTAAACCATTGGACCAGATTCTTAGTTTGTTCAAATTACTGTAGTGTGTTTGGAGACACTGAAGCTAAGCTAAACTGAGAATAGTCTGCTAAAGTAGCCTTACTGGCTTTTTGAAGATTAGTAAAGCTGCTAAAAATGTCTATATTCACAGTGGCTCACAATGTCAGTTGGAATAATTGTACATAAAAGAAACAAATATTTCATTAAATAATTTAATCTATCCAAATACCAAAATGTATATATTTTATTATTGTATGCTAATGTTTCACAAGAAATATCTTATGTTTTTCTCTTCCTGTTTATGTGAAGAGTTCAGAACTTTTTCTTCAATTATTCCTTGTGTTTTCTATCACATATATAAAAATTAGCAAGCTATCTTTTTGAATTAGCTGTTTTGTGACAGGCAAATTGCCTTTCTTTTCCTCAGAAGAAAAGCCTAAGTTAGCAAAATTATATTTCTTTTGTAAGAGAAAGAAACCTGCTAGAGGTAAAATGCATTTTAAAAAGTTAAGTGCTTAATTAGGTGAAGATGTGAAACTCTCTTTGATTAAACACAGTTCAATAGAAAAGCTCTTCCCATGTAACTTATTTCAAATATCAAGGGCAAGCAAATCTTTCTTTTAATAGAAATAATTGTATTATTTGTTTTAACAGTGTGGCTAAAAATGTTGTTTCATAGTTAATACATTGATCCAGATTCTAAGTAACGGTTCAGAAATAAAATAACTATATTGCAGCTGAAAATATTTGCAAATGGACAGTGTCTTCGTTACCGTATTAAAAAATCCCGTTGATTTAGTGCTGCTGTTGCATTAAGTAGTTATCAGCAAGTTTAAAATTAAGGATTGTTATGAGTACCTTTTTCAGTATTCTCAGTAGAAGGAACGTGGATATTTTCCAGTGAAACTTGTTTACTTCAGCAAATACTATTTTTTTCAAACAGAAATGTTCTGCAAAACACCTTGCCTTTACCACAAGCAATGGCTCAAGCAATAACGCCCTTGAACAAGAGTTAGGATTCCCGTGGTGGTGCCTTGCATGGAGATGTCGTCAGGCTTTGAAACATCAGGCCCACCTTGCAGTGGAGACCCTGGTCACTCAGGGGGTTTCAGGAGCCGTTCTGAGAACACTGTTCCTTCCAGCATTGTTGGCAAAAGAAATCAAATTCATTCGCAGGGCTTTGAAGTTCCCAGCTGTGGAGCCCTCAGTCCGCAAAGCCCTGGTGCTGGAGCCGAGGGTTTGGGGCCCTACATGTAGCTCCCCAACCGCTCCTGTGCTGGGCTGGCAGCCCGAACCCCCTGCTCCGTGGCTCAACAATCTGTAGGACTGTAGGACCGGGAAGCTCGAGTGAATCATCTGGCTGCTTTATCTGAAATGCCGATTTTTCCTGTGCCTAGTGTTATCCATATAGATGTTTTACTGCCAAACAGCAACCCACAGAAATCCCATCTACATATATTTTGTTTTATAAAGTATATTTTTTTTCACAAAAACTTTTCTGTTTCCAAGATGAGCTTATTAAAACATTTGTGGTTTTCAGGAAACTTCTTAAAATTGAAGTTGGCGTGTGAACTGGGAATTGGCTACATTTAGTTTTTAATAGGAGGTTATGAATTACTCTGAATATATGTACTGAACTTAATTGTATCATAAAGTACTAATTTTTAGGTATATTATCATAGTATTTCCAAAAGCTACACAAGGTACAACTGATTTAAGCTTTGCTGCATTCCATGAGATGCTTATTACAATGTCGTGGTCTTTTGGACATTTTTAATATTTAATTATTTTTTGCAGTGATAAAAATAAAAGAAGAACAAAAACAGTAAAGAAAACATTGGAACCTAAGTGGAACCAAACATTCATTTATTCTCCAGTTCACCGGAGAGAATTTAGAGAACGAATGTTAGAAGTTACTCTTTGGGACCAAGCACGAGTTCGAGAGGAAGAAAGTGAATTTTTAGGCGAGGTATATGGTTATCATTGGTTTTTATTTTAGGAATATAGTTGGGTACATATTTATATCTAGATACAACATTTTTGAATAAAATAATTAAATGTGATAAAGCAAAGCTGCTTTAAATTGTTATATTTCTACTTATTTTACTTAGCAGTAAACAAATAGTAACGTCACGCTTACCACACAGTCCTGATCTCAGATTCATTTTGTATTTGTTCTGTTTCTGAAACGGTGTGCACATGGTTTCAATTTCTTTGAGAACTGTTCATTAAAATCCATATTATCCATGGTTCTGTCTTACTAAAATGTTGACAAATTCTGCTGAATAATTTGCTACAAGATGCTTGAATGCTATTAAGGTTGTTGTTAAGGTAATCAGGGTTTTGTGAAAGGGTTTTGTTCATCAAAAGCATAGGATCTCCTTTCTTAAATTAAATGTAAGATTTTTATAAAATTTCAAACATACTCCTTAACAGTAAGAGAATAAATAGAATGAGATTTATGGATAGGCCTATTTTAAAAGTGTTCTGTTATGTAATGCCATCTTATTTTTAATCATTTTTTATTCTTTAGATTCTTATTGAGTTAGAGACAGCATTACTAGATGATGAACCTCACTGGTACAAACTTCAAACACATGATGTCTCTTCATTGCCACTTCCCCACCCCTCACCATATTTGCCACGCAGACAACTCCATGGCGAGAGTCCCACACGGAGGTTACAAAGTAAGTTGCTGGTTTTACATGCTGTGTGTAGTTCATTTGAATTAACATGTAGAGTATATTAAATTCTTGTAAATGGGAAGCTTACAGTGTTATGAATTAGATTATTTATGATTACTCATGAGACTCCGAGCTGTTACAAATGGTAATACTGAATACTGTATGATCCACCAATTTTCTTATTAGTCTACCTGTTTCAAATCCTCAGCTTGACTGAATTATCTTGGTCTTTGCCAATGTACTGTTTTTATCTTCTGAAGTCCTATTTCCTGTATTAGGTTCATCATTTCATTAGTTAACCAAAAATGAAAGTGCAATAACTTTCTTTTGGCTTAGACTTCTTTAAAATGAAGAGCAGTGACTTGTATGTAACATCACGTGTAACTAAATATCATGGCCTGTTGCTTTATTTTGATAGTATTATATGTGGTTAGATTCACAAATGGAATTTCTCTTGTAATACTATTTCATACAGTTAGGTATATTTGATCCACGGTAGTTTGCTGTTAGCAGTAGATACTTGGCAAACAGAAAATAGTTTATTAAGGAAAAGAGATACATAAGACAGTATACGGTGTGAATCTGTTTCATCCTTACTCTCATTGTTTCTCTAGATAAACTGCTCACTAGTGTCAGTGACTCAAAGCTATCCTTCAGTGAATTAACTTCATAAAATATGTCGACGCTGTGAAAAATCTTCTATTATTCCCATAGATAATTTTTGCAAAAAAAAACCTGGAAAACTCTTTGCATTTTCTTTGGTTATTTTGTGTGAGTGTGTGTGCGCGTGTGCATTTATTAACACACACAAACTCACAGAAGCTCGATGAAGCTTGAGTACTTCATATGTTCTGTATGGATTCTCTATTAATTTATCTCTTGCATGTGAATATTTAAAAGTAGTTGGCAGATTTTGTGTCTGTGCCCTGGAAGGTGAAAAGGATTAAAATGCTCCATATCATAATATTCTGAGATAGATACATTAAATGAGAGTTGGCTGAAGTGTGTAGCCTTCAAGCCATGACATTATACTTATCCAAAGAAGAAGGAAAGACATGCTAGCTAACAGGTGAGGACCTCTTTTTCAGTTCACTCCTCTTCAATCTTTTCAGGACCATGACTGTTGTTTAATTAATTCTTATTTTAACTATTTTTCTTCTTTATTTTCTGCCATTTTGGAACGTATTTTTAATAAGTTAAATATAAGTTTTCTTCCATGTAACAATACTTTTATAAACCAATTGGACTTTTCAGTATCTGTTTGTATATGAAATGAGTTCATGTGTGACATCAGTGAAATTCTAGCTTTCGGGAAATACTCAGTCCTGCAAAGAAACGCTCTTTGTTTGTAGTAGTACCCATCTGCTCAATAAATAATTGCTATGAAAGGTATTGATATTTGATTAAAGATTTGTTCAAAGGCATTAACTCAAAGGTGGAAAGCCAGGAAAAAGTTCTAATACTTTTCCTTCTTATCACTCTCTGTGGAAATGTATAGGGAAGGACTTGCATTGACTTTTAGGTTGGTGGAACAGTAAGATTTGGTGTAGAAATCCTGCTTTTCAGTGAAGGATAATTTAACCTGATTGTTCCCAGAGCAGTACCTTGATGCCATATAGTTTTCCACAAGCTTTAACCAAAGAAGTAATTTCAGAAGTTCACTATGACTGCTGGAACATTGATACATTTCTCCAAGAGCTTATGATGTGTGCATTCCAGCTGAGATGGGGATTCCATACAAAGGGTTTTCTCTAGTGTCCTGGAAACCCATGTGCTCTATGAATCCTTGCATGCCATAAGTCATTCTCAGTTTAGAGAAAGAGTATTACATGCAAAGGATAGAGAGTAATGTCTTTTGGGATTAGAAGCCCTCTCTGTTTGGTGCTGGGAAGACATCCTAACAGAAACTTAGCACCTGGTCAGAATTTTGCCGTGGTAACAGACTCTATTTATCAAAAAAGCCTGTGAATTTGTGTTGCACCTCTGAAATGAAAATAAAAGTATTTCCTGATTACCTAGAAGGGTGATGGAGTATTCCCTTGGAGATATCGAGAACTCAATTGGACAAGACCCTGAACAACGCAATGTAAGTTGGCCCTGCTTTGAAGTGGGCCTTGCACCAGATGACCTTCAGAAGGTCCCTCCCAACCTACGTGATTTTGAAGTTCATCTCCAGGGGAATGAAGAAGGGCAGACATCAGATGTTATGCTTGTTTGCCTTCACTGAGTAAAATATTAAGAATACAACAGCATATAGAAGCTTGGTTCTTTTACCCTTTTTTTTTGGAAATTTCAAAAGAATATTTAATTAAACTTAAGATCTCATTGTTTCTTGTGTCTGAAGCCCTTTTTGTACTCTTCAATGCAAACTCTTGTATATGATCAAAATGCTTCCCAGATAGTAACGCTACATTTTGGGACAAACAGAAATACGGAAGACAACATTTTAAAGCAGAAGATGACCTCATTTTTTATTTTCAGGGAAGCATTATGACTTTGTGAAAAATAAAATTATCCAGAATGAAGGCAAGGTGTATCTAACAGCACTTTTTAAGAGCACTTACTGTGCTCTTATACAGTAAACAGATTTCAGTTGCTGGGGCTGCAAAAGCTGCCTTCAGCTTCAAGAGCAGTTCAGTCCTCCCGCCTTTTATTCACTTCTGTGATGCCTCTATGTATAGAATTAGTGAGTAGAATGTAAAGTGCCTTATTTTATGCCCCCCAAAACTGTAAGTATGAGAAATAAGAAAGAAGAGAGAGATCTTGAATTACAAGGTTGTTTGTTGTTTATATAAAAAGACACCTAAGCTTTCTTATCTTCATGACTGACAGGTTACTATAAATACATATACTAGGAAAAAAATACTTAAATGTTATTCTCTGAAGGTATTTTAAAAGAACTGCCTACACTTACCCACTTACTTTTCTTATAATTCTCAGAATTTATGTGGCTGTACCATGAAGCACTTTTATTTTCTTTTTAATGAATTTTAGTGTTCTTAAAAACGAGCAGATTGTCAGGCCTGAAGACTGAACTCCTGTATTTACCGATAGTCAGTAGCATAGTGCAAGCTTTCTGCAGAGTCCCATATGCCATTTTTTTAGGAAGTGACTTTCAAAGAGAGACAGTAACTCAGTTTCTATCTCTAGTTATCTCTCAGTATCTTTGAGTAGACATGATGTTGTGATACAGAGAGTTCCCAATCAACTGTCCACATTCACTTGCCCAATCCTCTGGTCCATGCAGTCCATTAACCTCCTATTGATGAAAAACTATTACCATGCATTTTCCTGAGGACTGTCTTTTTAATGAGACAGCTACTTAGACGTTGGAATTGCTATAGAACATAGAATTATGACCTATGAGCTCTGTCAGCTGTATAATTATATTGCAGATTTTCATAAACTGTTTGCCTTTTATCCGATCAATGTGTTTTAGGTTTTTTTCTTATTACATACGAAATGTGAGGTAATAAGTAGGTCTGTTTCACTTATCATGCTGGACTTTTTAAGTGGATTTGTAAAACGGCCCAACTTTCCCCCAACTTTTAACCTAAAATCATCCATACTTTAAAAATTCCAGACAGCATTAATTGAAATCATGGGCAAATTAAAGTTATTTTTTATATTGCCTCTGACAAGAGATTGTAAATAGAAAATTCAAAGTTACTTTGAAAAAAATGTTGAGATTTCATATAGTCAGTTAAGTGACACTATTATTAATGCTTCTCACACTAGGTAAGAGTCTAACCCCAGATTCCACTGAAAAGTAAATGTGATTTGGATATTGCATTCACAAATGTTAAGATAAATGGGATAGAAATTATTGTTAGCATTACTTTTCAGTGATAACTGATGCAGAAGTGAAGGAGGATTTGTACCATGGGACTGTAAATCAGTAATTACTTCCTTTCTGCGTATCCCAGAATGCAGAGATAGCAGTCACCAAATTGAATCCAAACCTTTCTTAATCAGTCTTTTACAGTTATGTCCATATAATGTTTGTATCTGTGCAGTGTGGGCTGATACTATTTAGCTGGTAAAGAATATTGAGCTATTGCACATTTGGAAGCACATTGAATTTTTTAATTCTGTAGTAACTCTGAATTTGTTTTAGGAGCAGCTATTATTTTTTTATTTTACTTCAAGTATTTTAAGAATTTACTGATGAGTTAGGATTAAAAAGTAACAGACACTTGTTTTCAAAGTTAGATTTTGCAGCTTTATAACAAGCTGGCTGAATTATTGATCTGCTGACTGCAGAGAGTGGGTGGACAGTGTGGATAATAGCTAAATGCCAAAAAAAAGGGGAGATACATACAAAACCAGTAATGCAAACGTTTGCAGGTCTCCAGTTACAGCATGTGTGTGTATTGGAACAATGGAAAGAGAGTGGAAGCTTAAAATGCCATGAGGAATACACAATGTGGAATTATATTTTTTTGAAATATGTATCCTCAGTAAGGGAAAAATAGGGAATTTATGTGAAAGTAACTGTCTTGTTGAAACCAAAATCTTAGAAATTTTAGAAATGACAGTGTTTGGAAATCAACACATAGAAGTCCAAAATGGTGGATCAAACTGCATTCTACCAAGAGCATGAACACGAGGAATCAATCAGGTTCAAAATAACTGGAAATAAGGAAACTGTGAAGTAGGTTTCTTTTATGGAAAATTTAACTTTCATTTTTTTTTAAATTAATGTCATTGAAGGCTCCCTTCACTAACCTACATGATTCTTAAATAAGCTATGTGAAGAAAATCTGGTGGGAGAGAAATTGCAGCAATGAATATTTCAAATTTTGGGGAGAAAAATTGAGTGTAGTTTGTTTTACAAAAGAAATCGGCATATAGCATGCAAAAGCTATATATAGCATTCCTTTTCCAAACTTTATCTATTAATTTGGATGAGAAGAAAGAATTTATAATCCATAAGCAAAGCTTTTTTTGGATGACAGAGTAAGTTCTAGAGTCATCTTCATGGCTAAGCTTTGTACAGTTTGTCAGGAGCCATATTATATTTTCTAGGTCTATATTCAGACTTGCTAAAAATTATCACATCCAACCAGAAACACCAAATTTGTAGACTGAATTCACAAATGAAGGCCTCCATTGCTTATTCTGAGAGTGATTATTAGATGGACTTGTCATTGCTGGGTCCTGAAGTTTTTTTTGCAAAAGTTCTGTGACTGTGTACTATTCAATCACTACCAAACCAAAGATGAGTGGCATGTTATAACTGTTAATTCAGGTCTTCTCTTCCATTTTTTTAGTATTAAAGTATTCAAGTCTATTTTGTGGAACAGTATGATGGTTTCATGGTAGTGCCAGATTACTGAAGCTTAATAATAATTGATTGCAGTGTATCTGAAACTTTATCCTTTGAAATTGGAGCCTCTGCATCTTGAACCTCAGTCTTCCAGTGAAAGCCACTGACCTTTCTGGAACTCTGTAGAGTCTCATCTTACTGCAGAATCAGGGTCTTGCGGTCTTAACAATTTCGTTTTAATAGGCTGTGAATAAGGTAAATCAGTAGAGTAGTTTTAAATCAATGTTACTGATTCTTACTTGAGGGAATTATAATAATTACATTCACTAGTAGATAAGTGAGTAGTACTTAATGGAAATGCATATCAGTGACCTTTTTTCACATTATAATATGGAGCATTTTATGGTCAGTGGCACAGATCCATAAGCAGTGAATACATGACAAGAAGTTAACCCTAGAGAATAAGAATAACACATTTTTTTCCCTTTCATGCTTATTCTTTTATTTTTCTCTTTCTTTTATGGAACACAGGGCTTGAGCATGTTATCTTTGTTTGCTTGTATTAATGTTTTGTTCAGAGATTTTGAAACAAGTGCCACTATTGCATTTATTATACTTCTATAATTTATTTATTCTATTTATTGTACATCTATGGTCTATTAAATACTTTAATACAAAGGTATTTAACATGATGCAGGGGTGTCTGTAGAGGCCTTAAACTATCAAAATATAAAAGAAAGAAAATTATTAAATTCTGTGCTCTTTGAAGAATTAAAAATAAACATTATTAAATTGTAATTAAACTACAAAATATTTCAAATCCTATCAGTGTTTTGAAGCAACTAAACGGAATTTGGATATTGTTTATAAATCTGTTGCTCTAGTTAATTGATATAATCATGTTATTAAATTATCCCTCAGTCATATAATGATGGCAGAAAAGCAATGTTCTTGTCAAAATAACTCACTGGATAGTATATGAGTAACCTTTCTATGCACTGGGTAGATAGCAAGCTAGGGGACCTTTTAAATGATTCTGAAAGATGTAGACCCTTTTCTGACTAAAAGTAGGGTTTGTTTTTTTTACTTTTTGAAGTATAATGAACTATAATACTCAATTTTAATGGCTGTGGTGAAATTTTCAAATAAATTTAATAATATTCTGACTTCTTCCTTTCTGTGTTGTAACCACGCAGAAACAAATGTGGCTTCTCTAGTCCCCAGTCCCATAATAGTGTCTGTATTTATACATTCTTCTGCTCTTCAAGAAGCTTACTCTTTTACAGCTCTTTGCAGAATTTTAATTCAAGAAAGTCCATCCCTTTTAATTATATAAATAATTTCCAGACTGTATTCATCAAAATCATTTTGATGGCTCTATTGAAATTCTAGTAAACTAGAAGACTTTCCCACACACCATTTTGCATGATTTTGTAGCTAAAGAAGTGTTGGAGGAGAACTGAGTTAGAGATCATTTAATCAAACTTGACATCCACAAGTCCAGGGGCCCTCATGGGATGGCACCCAGGAGTGCTGAAGGAGCTGACAAATGTCATTGCTAGGCAGCTTCAATCATCTGGAAGAAAGTAAATGTCACCCCAGTCTTCAAAAAGGGCAAGCAGGACTCAGGGAACTACAGGCCAGTCAGCCTGTAACTCATTCATTCACAGCTCCTCCTGCAGGCCATCTCGACGTATGTGGAGGACAAGAAGGTCATCAGCAGTAGTCAGCATGGATTCACAAAGGGGAAATCACGCTTAACCAACCTGATAGCCTTCTCTGATGGAATGACCGGCTGGGGAGGTGAGGGCAGAGCCTGACTACCTGGACTTCAGCAAGGCTTCTGACACTGTCTCCCCTCCCATCACGTCCTCACAGGCAAGCTCAGCAACTGCGGGCTGGATGAGTGGATGGGTGAGGTGGATGGAGAAATGGCTGAATGGCAGAGCTCAGACGGTTGTGGTCAGTGGCACAGAGTCTAGCTGGAGGCCTGTAGCTAGCGGTGTCCCCCAGGGGTCACTCCTGGGTCCTGCATTGTTTAACTTATTCCTCAGTCACCTGGATGAAGGGACAGAGTACACCCTCGGCAAGTTGGCCCGTGATACAAAACGGGGAGCAGTGGCTGATACCCCAGAGGGCTGTGCTGCCATTCAGAGGGCCCTCGACGGGCTGGAGAGATGGGCAGAGAAGGACCTCAGGAGGTTTAGCAAAGGCAAGTGCAGGGCCCTGCACCTGCGGAGGAATAACCCCGTGCACCAGAGCACGCTGGCAGCTGACCTGCTGGAAAGCAGCTCTGCAGAGAAGGCCCTGGGAGTCCTGGCGGATGACAAGTTGACCATGAGTCAGTAAGGGTGAGTCAGTAAGGTGCCCTTGTGGCCAAGA